TCTCTCATCTCCTCCTGGGCCATGCAGTCTGTCTGCAGCGCCCTCCCTATCTCTGCCATGGAGTCAGGGGCCTGCCTGTCCATCCTCACACACCTTCAGGTTCCCAGCCAGTGTCCACCCTGCACCCCTGTGAGCTGGCCAGGCCCTGGCTCCTGAAGCAGCTGATTCTGTTCTTGGTCAGCTTTGGCTCTAAGTTCCAACCTTGAACCTAAACCTGTCCCCTTAGGAGAGAAGCTGGTCTGGGTTATGTCCTCTGGAGCTCTGTCAAGTGACTTTGCTCTTTATTCTACACAATGGACTTTTGCTCAGATGTGTGACATCAGAGTGAGGCCACTCTGCTTGGATCCCCCGCATCCTGTTGCTTTTTGCCTCCATCTCCCTCATCTGCCTTTCTCTCCATCGGTGCTTCCCCTTCCTTCCCCAGAGCCTTACCACCTCGTGCTGGTCCACCCACCTCCTTTCTCCTTTCCCAAGTCTTCTTCCTCAGGGCCACAAGAAGAATTTTTCCAAAACATCAACAAGCATACATTTCCCTTGGCACAGCGGCCTGGAACCTATAGGAAAGTCCTCCTTAACCTGGCATTCAAGGTCTCCTTTCCTCTGTCTCCAAGTTCATGGACAGTTGCTTTCTCACACAAAACCCTTTGTTGTTGTTTAGTTGCTAGTTGTGTCTGACCCTTTTGTGATCCCATGGACTATAAACCACCAGGTTCCTCTGTCCACGGGATTTCCCATGCAAGAACACTGGAGTGGGCTGCCATTTCCTCCTCCAGGGGATCTTCCCATTACAGGGACTGAACCCTCATCTTCTGTGTTGGCAGGAGGATTCTTTACCACTGAGCCACCAGGGAAGCCAACTGCAAGCAAACCAGTCCAATTCACTGTCATCAGAACATTCCATTAGCACTCTTGCCTCTGGGACCTGATCTACATACTGTCCTTTCTCGTCTCCTTCTTTCTCTCCTGTATCATCTTTGGAGGCCTCCCTGACTAAGGCTCTGACAGGATCCCCTCCACATCCCAGAGAAACCCATAGGCCTCACCACTATGCGTCTCATATGTGATCTTATTTTTGATGAGTCCCACTGAAGTTCCTCTGAGAAGTTTTATTCCCCCACCCCCTTCCTAGGTAGGCACTGAACACCTGAGCTTTGAGGACAAAGATGACATCAACCCTGCTGCCAAGATCCCTGAGTCCTCTCCCGCCTTCTTCACATGTTCCTCCTCCTCTCTTTTTCCAGCAGGCTCTGAAGAGGGCACAGAAGTCTCTGTGGGGTCTGACCACTGTCAGGCATGATGAAACCACAGCTCCCCTGAGCCATGGTAGGGAGAAGCATGCAGTGGGTTATGATGCAACAATTTGGTCACCAACCATGAGTTACCAAGTTCCCCAAATATTGGATCTGTACTTGAGTCCTTCACATCTTAACAATGCATCCTAAAGTTCCTCTTCTTGAGAAAACATTTCCAGGATTGCTCAGAAGTGATCACTTTCCTTGGCCATTCAGGTTTATTTTTGTTTTCTAATTGTTTAAAAAACCTGCCATATTGTAGGCACTCTTTCTGGACCACTGAATTTGTGTTTGTTTTCTCAACTTTGCCTGCTGTTTATAAGTCATATAACTCGTACATTCTCTAGTTATACATTTCTATAATGACTTTTCAGTCTGCCCTTTTCCTTTCCTGTATGCATCCAAACATGACCCCATAGTTAGGAACCTTATGAAGCCACTAGAGAGTGGGGAAGCTGAGGGCACAGATTCCAAACACACATAGGCTCACTCAAGTCTCTGCTGTATCAGCTGCGTAGACTTTTACAATAACCTTTGTGAGCTTCAGTTTTCATCTGGAGGAGCATCAAGTATCCATTCCGTGTCTCGTGAGGGTCGGATAATGTACATTTAATGTGCTCAGCCAGGCATGGTACACATACATACCAGATGTTGGCTACTGTTGCCAGGGATTCCCCAGTGAGGGCTTCAGCCCTGGTTATGAGGTGCCCAAGGAAGGCCTTTGCTGGTGATGACAGTGAAGATAGAACTGTTAAAAGAGGCCATGGAGGCCCTTCTGGCTCAAAATTAGAGCTAGAATTACACAGCCCCAAATTAGTAGAAAACTTACCACTCTTTAGAGCGGTCAAGGCATGAGCATCTTTTCTTTAGCCACTGTGTTTCTTAGGGAAATCAGGTGATAACTCATTTAGTAATTTCTGAGAGTGGGGAGGGGCTTTGGGGACTATGGTAAGAATATTACTATGGTAAGAATATTATCGTTTCGGGGATTAGGAATCCCCCAGTCACCCTTCCTCTCTCCTTGGGACCTAGGGACTACACCCCCAAAGATCAATGGCTGAACAAGGAACTGATGGTCTTACGCCGAGCTAGCACCCCACAGCCCCAAATGGAAGCTGAGCTGGAGAGCATGGCCAAGGCCCAGAAGCCCCAGCAAGGGGCTGATTCAATACCTATGAACCACACACACAAAGGTTACAGTGACCATGACCCCTCTCCCCTTGATTCTAGGGGGTCCTCTCCACCACACAGCTGCAAGTCCAAGGACCAGGAAGGCAGGAGAGGGGCAAGCCTGCTCCTGGAGGAGGCACCAAGGGAAGGCAGAGAGGGGTTGGCCTTACCTGCTTAATTTAGTCTCTCCCATACACCTATAAAGAAGGCGGTATTATCAGTCCCATTTTGCAGGCAAGAAACTGAGGCAAGGATGAAGCAAGCTGCCCCAGGTTGCACAGCTATGAGGCAGAGCTGGAACTTGAAGCCTGGCAGGTTTATTCCTGGTTTCCCTCTTATTTACTTGCCATTTGCTGAGAGCCTCAGTCACACCCACTTAGTCTCCTGACAGGGAAGCTCGGTGCTTCCCTCCACTTGTGAGCACTGACATCAACCACAGGTGAGATTATGAGGGGTATGCTCTGCTAGGGACCTTTGGGGCAATGGTTGAAAGAGGGAGCAATGTAATTCCTGCACGTTTTTCTTGCAAGCTTGTACCTGTGAGTCCCAGCAATTAAACACAACCAAGAGGTAAAGGGGGTGAACTTGTGATCAGGTCTGTAACCCTTGGATCAGCCTTGGACATGGGCACGTCAATTGCTCTATCTCCTTCTAGGGGACACTAACAAGTCATAGCCTCTGCTGAAGGAACATCCCTCAACTGCTGTATCTGTTACCGCTTGACCCTCATTATTCCCCAGTCGGCCCTGAGAGGTCCCAGCCCCAAAGGCCCGTGATTCACAGGCTGGCCAGGGACCTAAGAAATATGGCTAAGAAATAATGAGCTGGGCCCAATCACATTCTCAACCTTGGGAATCTGATTCTAGAAATACAGAGACAGTGAAAGCTGTGAGCCATGGGGATTGAAGCTGAGAGAATCTGGAGGTGGTTAAGGCTGTGATAGGTTGGGCAGAGAGACAATGACACTGCAGAAGAGCTGTAAGGTAGGAAAACATACATAGTGGAGGGTGAGAATAAGCTGGTTGGAAGTGAAGCAGGCACAGACGAGCTGAGTCAGGCCAAGATGAAGGTGAAGCGTGATAGCAGCTGACGTTTGATCTTCCTGCACGTAAGTACCATCTGGAGAGAATCTAACAAATACCAGTGTCTGTGCTTATTCCCAGGGAGTCTGTGTAATCAGTGTGGAGTGGGGACCAGGCATTAGTAGACTAAAAATGTCCTCAGGTAGAAGCAGGTGGGATACCTCTAACCTGCTGGGAGGCTCCCCAGCCTCCTGAGTCTTTTGTTTTCACAGCCTGGCTCCTGCTCTGCTGGAAGCCCCGTGGTTCAGGTTCCTCTGAGTCCTTTGGCAGATTCTTACAGGTCACTTACAGCTCCTGCCTTATTCCTTACTAACAGAAGTTTGTACAAGTATTAGAGCAGCAATATGGTCAAGGAAGATGGGCCCAACCCTGGAGAATGAAGACAATTTGTCCAAGCCAAACAAGACAATCCCATCCCCTTCTCCCATCTTAGAGATGCGTATGTGACCCAATTCTGACCAGTGACATGCTGGGGGCAGGGGGCTTCTGGGGGAAGTTTTCCCCTTTAAAAGAGAGAGAGAGAGAAGCTGGAGAAAGGCCCCCTCACCCTCTGCTGTACTGAAGAGTTACGCCGCCTGATGTGCTGACCAGAGCTTCTAGAGCCGTCCTATGACTGTGAGGGGGGAAACCCACGAGAACTGCAGAAAATCTGCCCAGAGCCCTGATGTGACTGCTGCCATTAACCAACCCAGGAACCACTTTCCTCCAGGTTTCTTGTTACTTACTCTGTGTTTTTGTGCGCCAGGTACCATCTTGAGCACTTTTCATGTGTAACTTAATGGGTGAAAACTGGCTTCAGTTCCTGCACAGGAGCCTTCCCACACACCCCCTGCGGCATAACCCTGGCTTGTCCTGTGGCCCACAGCCACTTGTCCTGGTTTTCCTTGCTGGAAGAGCCACAGAGGGCTGGTGTCCAGGAGGCTTCCAGCTGATGCCCTTCCAGTCACATTCCACAAGGCTGGCTGGCTGGCTCTCCCCTTACCCTTGCCTTCTACCCCCTCGCTCACTTCACTCTTACTCCAATCCTTCTTTCTTCCCCTTTCCTCCATCCCTCCAATGACTGGATTTGAGAGGAAAAGAAATGGAGCCCCATGCCCCCTAAAACCAAAAATATCTGGACTGACTGTAGATCTTTAAAATCTGGGTTTCTAGACAGTTGGCAAGTCCTTAAATATTAGCAATTGTCCACATCAACCTAGTTGTAGCTCCAAAGTGAGCTTTCTTTTCATGCTATCCTGTCCCTTGACCCAAAAATAAGTCTAAGTGGTCCGCAAAGAAAGGGCATTCTAGGCTCTTCTGTGGCTCCAGCCAGGGATCCTCAGGATCTGCACCCAGGAAAGCGTATAGGCCCCTCTTCAGGCCCACCCCCGCATCTTCGTAATTCTTCTTCCCAAGTCTGGAACGTGGTCACCTTGGCTCAGATCCCGTGTTTCAAGCTCAAAGAACACCATAGGTATTAACAGTTACACAGACTTTATTTTTCACCCATTGAGCACAGGAAGGTCTGGGCAGGCAGAGGTGTCACCATCACCCCCTTGGTTCACAGACACAAACCGTGAGACTAGGCGGTGAGGGACAGGGGTCCTGTTGCTACCACAGATCACTAGGGGATTATCACAATGACACGTGTTCTCGGTTCTATTTACACCATGGAGTGTGGAGAGGGTACATTTCTTACACTAAAAATATATACTTTGGAATCTCTAAAACAAAAATATCTCTATTTCTACAGGAGACCTACTAGAAAGAAGAACATAGAAAACGAGGGAAATGTACCAGCACCTCAAGCTGTCCCCTTCCGTGGGAAGGTCGCTCTGCTCTCCACCTGACACCATGTGCTTGGGAGGGCAGCTGTATCTAACCAATCAGACAGACAGACACAGATAAACGAGAGGGAGGCTTATCATCTTGGAGGAGTGAATATGGAGGAGAGGTATGGGGAGGATGATTTTGGCCTCTTTTGCAAAAGGAGTAATTGCACATTCAGTTTATTGCACGTGTGAAAAACCTTCAAGTTGAAATCGACTGCAAACCTGCTAAGAGAACCCAAGCTCTGTTGATTCCTGCTGGGCTTGGGAAAGGGCCATGGGTGGGCTCTCTCTCTCCCACTCAGAAATATTAATGCCATCATCTAGAAGAAAAATTCTGTATTCTCCAATGCTGAAAGTGAGTTAGGTTTCAGAAAATGCTATTCTTTTTCTTTTCAGAAGGATCAGAAACTATTCCATTCCCTTTGAGCACAGAATCTCCTAAAAGAATTATGCCTGTAGTTGAATTTTCCCACTTTCTAATGTTTCCTATTGAAAAGATTCATGTGACACTCCTTTCCTCTTTTGATAGAGTTACTTCACACCTCTTTGGTTGTGAAAGTCAGCCTCCTTCTGATAAAGAAACTAAAGAAACGTGAATTGAGTCAACTACCCCATTCTCTATAATTAATATAAGATCCCAGGGGCACCAAGAATGACAAAAAGTAGGTTTGGTAGAAAAATCCCTTCTATTTGGTTTTGAAATGTCTTTCTCTATTTACACTGAAATATGGATGATCCTGAGGGCTTGAGAATTCATAGTCCCTCATCCTAAATAAGGCAAATAACCATCAAGTTCCCTTTTGGAGCAGCCCCAGAACTATCCAACCTCCTTCCCTTTCTTCCCAGCCCCCACTGGAGGGGATTGTTAGGACCTCTGAGCAAAAACTCTTTCCCTTCAAGAAGAACTTGAAAGACTGAGGAAAAAGCAGAAAGGAGGGGAAAGAGAGCTTGAAAAAGCCAAGTCAGCAAAAGGGGGCAGAACTGAGATGATGTCTCATTTGGTCAGTTAGGACCGGCAAGAACAATTTCTACCTTAGGAGGTCTGGCAGCTACAACCAAAAGAAAGTCAAGAAGGTTGAGAATATCCGATGCATGTTGACTGTCCTGCCAGGATGTGGCTTGGGAACCTGAGAAGTCTAAGGAAAATGCAGTAATGAACTAGCAAGCAGTGCTTAAAAATCCTCGGAGGATGTGCTAACTCTCCTGCAAAAGCAGACATTTAGAGAAGCTGACAAATTAGTAGAAAGAACATACTGGAGAGTATGTCTGATGATAGTTAGAATGAAAGCTACGAGACCTTGGCTCAAGCCTTCTCCTATGCATCAGGAAAACCTGGACATGCTGAACATGGATGTTGAAATCAACAGAGAAGTTTCAGGGAGAATTACTGATTCCTTAATTAGGAGGAAAGTCTAGAATACAGAATAGGTAGAAAATAAAGTCAAACAAGGAATTGTCTTTTTTGGATGACCAAAAACCAGACTCCCCAAAGCAGAGACCTCTTAAAGGTCATAGATGTCAACCTAAGATGCTAAGACTTAGCATACCAGATTTTGATCAAATATCTATGGCTAATTTAAAAGCCAGTCACATCTCAGACAAACAGAAAGAGCAACTATTTATAACTTGTTTTGGAAATGAATGGTTCTCTAGCTCTCTACCCCAAAGGCAAATTTAATATACGAACAAGGAGAGGGGACAGGAGCTGAGTGCAGTAAAGACCAGCCCTCCTGGCAGTCCCATCATCAGAAGTTTGAAATCATAAACAGCTACAAAGAATTAGCCTGCATTTCATGTAAGCAACATTTTGGGCAACTTCACAACACATTTCTGCTGACCTTTACCTTCTCCCTAGACCAACCCTTCCCTAAGTCATAGATTAGGAAGTAACCCACTCACTTAGTGATGCCACTAAGATGCCACTTTTTCTGCTTAGAATCAAGATTCCACTCACCATCACTTTCTTAATCCCTGGCCTCCATCTGTTCCTACTCTACAATACCAGCCTATCAGGACACTGACTGTCAACACTCAAACTACTGCTGAAATTTCCCCTTGTCAGAGAAGAGGTGGACTACTTCTCTGGCCCAAGCAAGCCTGGGCATGGGAATTACCTAACTACCTGCCTTGATTTCTACCCCTAAATCAGTTTCTCCTTAACGTTGAGCTTAAACACCTTTTTCTAAGACTAAGCTACCTGTATTTGCCCTCAGGCAATTCTATCAGGCTAGAGAGGGGAAGTCCTAAATGGGGGAAGGACCATATTCTCGTGATATTCCCACAGCTTAGATGCACGAGGCTGTTCGGTAGCAGCAACGAAATCTCCTGGATATGCTTATTTGTCAGTAAGCACACATGCACACACAGACACACACACATACACACGAGGCCTCTGTTTCACTATCACTCTCAATTTCCTAAACACTGTCCCAACTTGACTCTGCCACCCATAGTCACCAGCTACAGACTTGAGCTGGGAAGCAGCCAGGACTGGAATTGAGTGCTGGGTGGGATTTGGGAAAGATGAGAGAGGAAGAGTATGGAGTGGTTCCTACCACTGAGATGTAGCGCAAACAGAGCTAGCTGTTGTTTGAGGAAAATTTAATCGCCCCAGAAGACTGGCATAGCCTCCCAAAGTAGGCTGTGCCAGGACCCTGGGAGGGTAACAAAGATAGGAAGCCCACTGGACAGGGCCTCATGAGACATCAGTGTGTGCAGAAACATGTTTGGAGTGACACTGTCACCCAGTTCTGCTGCATGATGGAGACTTCCCTGCTATATTCCTTGTAGCCACACTGAGGCCAAGGGAACGGGATGCAGTCACCACCTTCCCTATACAGAGGTGGCAGGAAAAGATGGGAGGGGCAAGATGGGGGAAGAGAGGAGGGATGTTCTCAGGGAACAGAGAAGAACGGAGGCAAGTTCAAGGAAGCAGCCAGAGAGGGACAGGGAAAGTCAGCAAGAAAGCTTTTCTCAATGATGGGTTGCCTTATGATTTTTCTAAACCAGGTAGGTAAACAGGTACAATGATTACATTTATCCTAAAGTGATAAAATGTGAAGCTTTGGCTCTCAAAGATTTTAATGCCCATAGAGTTCAAAGAAGCATGCCTGATCCTGTCTGCACCATAGGAAAGGAAGCTGAGGCTGTCCCTGAAACAGCCTTGTGAATAGAAATTAGACAAGCAGGAACAATAGCCATAATTCAAAGGGATATCACTTTAATATTTGAAAGCAGGGTGATGCTCAGCCAGTAGGCACTGGTATGGCCATACATACTGCTTGTTTATAGCAGGCATCCTTTCTGGGTGGTTGGTATCTATCCTGTACGAGTTGTTAAATATTTTGAAAATCATCTATGTATTAAAAATAATTGTGGCTCTAAGAGATAGGGAGATAGGAAAATGCAGGATTCCTTCAATATCAAAGTCCCTAGAGTAAGACTAGAATAGCATCAACATATTTTTGGAGTCTAAGGAATGTAAACTTCAATAAGATTATGTAGCCAACTCTTCACCTGTGAAAGAGAGCACCCTGAGGGGCCGTCCCTCTGTACAAATATTTTCCAGGATGGAAACTTATCAGATCCCTTGGGTACCAACATGCTTGTTAGTCACATTCTGTGCACAAAGGAAGGGAAAGTCTATACACAATGGAGCCCAAACCCTCACTGCAACAGAGAAGAGGTGACAAGAAGTAGAAATATAGTTTTAAACTGAATCAAGAATTAATTTCACCACTTACAGTTCATTTCCCCATTGTGGCTTTTTACATCTGAAAGTTAAAACATGTGTCAACAAAAAAAATCCAGGATGATGAAAGTGGTTTGGTCCATTGAGTTGACGATGGTTTGCGACTAAGGCATCTAAGGAGACATTATGTAAGCACTTGGATCTATCCAGGAATGGAATCAAAATATGTCCTCAAGAGACAGCAGCAAGACACGGATGTTTCCTCAACATGCCCAATAGAAAACCCCTTATCTCCTTTTCTACTCACAAATAACTATAATCAAACTTTCACCAGATATCTAGGAAGCAGACAGTATGACAAATCTTCAGGCGAGGAAGTCCTTCCTGATGTCTAAACTAATTCCTTCTGTAGCCACTAAAGCTCATTCTCTTACTCTATCAATGAAACTAAGTGAAGCTGCTCATCCTCACTCATCATTTTCCCCTGAGCCTTTTCCCATCTGAGCTAAGCAAGTCCAGTGCGTGTGTCCCTCTTGGCCCTTTCATCATCCAAGGTTCTTGCTGAGTTATGCAGGCTGCTGCTAGGGAGCGAGGAAGATGCACTGGGTCAGAGGCATCTTCTGGCTGTTGTGGTTGGCACTGCCAATGCTCAGGGTGCGGACCCTCCTAGGAGCAGACCTTCTGACAGCCTCTGGGTCTGACCAGCATCCCCCAGAGGAGGCAACCAAACCAAGGCCCAGGGCTGCCCAGGAGCCTGCAGTCACTATGCAACCGGAGAGGCTTCCCTTTGCTCTCTGCTCTCCTCCCACTCCCCCACCCCGTCCTTGAGCAAGAGGAACCTCACTGAGGAAAATCCTCAGTGGCAGAATGGATTTAGATGGCTCAGCAGGCCAGCCACCTGAAGAGGAAATGTCTGGCAAGTGGAAGCTGGGTCTTCAATGGCGGCAGTTCTGAAGAGAAAGAGAAGGAAGGAGAAGTACCAGCAGGAGGTGGTCGTCTGTTTCCATGCTCACGCCTGGCGATGCCCTCTGACGCACACCACCAATAACTCAACCTCGCATGGCTTGGCCAGGACCAAGGACGGGGCCAGGCTGGGGCTCACTTCTTCTCTGAGACCCTCGCCATCTTCTCTGTAACCCGAGCTTCCCTGTGGCACCTCACGGCCCACAGCCTCCAGCCCAGCAAAGACTTTTAGTTGAAGAGACTGAACAAAAGTGTTACAATTAGACAAAAAGGGAACACATGATTCATTCCTGCTTTTAACACAATACTTTGAAGATGTCACCACAATTTGGATCTGGCTATATTTTAAGTTCATTTACAAGTAGACTAGTTCTCAACTAAAAATAATCATGTGCGTTATACTTTCGACAGCTGCCTGGATTTTCCTCTGAAGGAAACAAGATTCTATATTTCACTCACATTCAGCACAGATTTATTTTAACCCATTCGATGAAGAAATAACCCACCACTACCACCCACTGGTGGCTGTGACTTTCCAGAGCAGCCTTATGAATGAGACAGTTATTACCCCCATTTCATGGCTGAATAAACCAAGTGCCAGAAATAGTGGTCTGCCCAGTTACACATGAAATTAATAGCTAGGCCAAGTCTCCTAACCTAGCCTACTGAATTTTTTCTTTATTTTTAAGCTAGAAAAATTGCCTTTAGTAAGACCTAAGATTTCACCTTCAATTATCTGATGACTTAGTGTTTGGACAAAATTATTTATGTAATTTGAGTACACAGCCTACTTCAATGTAGGCAAAAATGCCTCAAGTCTTTCCCTTTTCTTCATGAACCAGATTAAGATTGATCTATGCTACTGACAAACAATATTCAGAATTTGGTTTTCAAAATAAGAAAACAGTTATAATTTAATATTTCAAAATATTTATGAGACAATAATTCTCATTATGGAACAAGTTAAATAGGTTAAAGTCTGTATCAATATTATCAACACTATCCAAATATTGTAAGGATTTTCCAGTTTGTATGGCTGCAATCACTAGAGAGATGCTCTACCCATTTTGAAATGGGAATTAGAAAGAGGATAAAGGGAATGAAACAGATAAAGCAAATTTACATTCCAAAATAATTCCATCCTGACTTTGGGCTTGTGTAAATGGGCAGCTCAAAACAATGTATCTGCTCAAATAGTTGGAAAACATTTTTGCTTCTTTTAGGCTTATAACAAATCTGTGAGGTTAGCGGCAGTCCTAGATGTGCTATTTAACAGATAAATTCAATTTTACACCTAAAATACAGTTTACTTTCAACATGATTTCTACTTTTAAAAGCCATAAATAAATAAAAATCAGCAATTATAGTTCTCTTTACCTCTTTTCCTTTGTGTTTCCGGAATTCATACTGAGAGCTTTCCAGACCGTGGTTTTAGGCATTTCATCAGATATATTAATCTCAGAGGGGTCACATCTGAAATCAATGCATAGGACAGTCAGTGTCAGACATACAAATAAGACATATACCCCAGTCTGTGATGCCCGCCACCCACCAGAAGGGAAAAGATAAAGTCTGAGGGGGCTCGTCTCATAGCTCTCGCAGCACTAGGAACCAGATGGTTGGAATTCGAAAGGCAAGGGGGCCCATGAGTCAGAGCGGAGGGCTGGGCTGGGGTGCTGGCAAGTGGCCAGCCCTGCCTGCACAGTTCTGCTCTCCTCTGAAGGGCCCCTCTGGCGATGCTGGTGACAGCACTGTGATGCCCATAGTGGCAGCATCAGGAGCTACAACTGACTGAGCGCTCGCTGTGCGCCAGGCATGGGGCTAAGCACTCTTTGTTCCTTTTCTCATTTACACGGCCAGATCTTTTCCATTTGTAGTTTACAAAGGTCTTTTACAATGTGGTATCTTAACAATTATAGCAACAGAGATGATTAACATCCTCACTCTGAATGTGTAGAAACCAAAGCTTGTAGGGTTAAGAGACCGCCCAAGGTCAAACATGCCTAAGCGGAAAATCAAGACCTTGAATCCTGTCCTTGGTCTCCTAGAAACTGCCAAGCCCCCAATACTCTGAAGTTTTCCACATGCCAGACTGTTTCCTTCTAAAAGGCCGAGAGGAGGCAACACCTGCTAGAAAAGGAACAGGGCTCCCACTTCACCACAGAGAACGCAAAGTCTCTGGATCCTTGCATGGCAACTTACAGAAAGTTTATTAAGGACCAAAGATTCCATTTCTTTGTGGTCAGTGTTTTTTTTTTAAAGTTAAATACTCATAGTAACAGAGTTAGAATGGTGGTTACCAGAGGCTGAGGGGTGGGGGACAAGGGGAGATATTGATCAATGGGTACAAACTTCCCATTAAAAGATGAGTTAGTTCTGAAGACTTAATATAGAGCATGGTGACTATAGTTAGCAATAAGAATGTATTGTATACTTGAAATTTGCTAAGAAAGTAGATCTCAGCTGTTCTCTCCACCCACAAAAAAGGAATGGTAAGTATAGGAAGTGATGAATATGCTGTCAATTTGATTAAAGTAATTCTTTTACTATATATATATTTATATATTATATATAATATTGCATACCTTAAATATATATTACTTTCAGTTGTCATAAATAAATGAATAAAAGGCCAAAGAAAAGCTTTTCCTCTTCTCTCCCTCAGTATAAACCACAATCAATTCAATAAGTCAGCAGTAAATTATCCAGCATCTAGATGGCCCAGATCCCCTCTCTCTCCCTTTTCTGTTCCCTCTCCACCTCTGGGCTTCTTTCAGCTTGTGTATTCCTCTCTCAAAGTGGAAACAAAATGCCAGGAATGAAAGCACAAATGGACCGATTTAGCATCCTGTGATTTGTGGCGAGCAGACCACGAATAGGTTGAACAGACCAAAAGGCTAAGATCACTGGCAGAAGTAAGGAATTGGAGGAATCCCAGTTCAGTTTCCCCTTGGGTTCTAGGACTGCAGTAGCCATGAGCCAAGCTGGGAGGGGCTTGGCTACCCATCCCCAAAAGACTTGCATAAGCATGGGAACTTCATGTCCACTAGAATGACAAGCATAGCCTGTATCCTATTCACCTTTGGAAGGCGGCAGAGATAGGCAGAAAGAGCACTGGTTTGAGGAGAGCATGAACTTTGGAAGCAGGGTCCTCCCATGACTCCCATAACTGGCACAGTGGCTGACGCATGGCAGGCCCTCAGGGCATGAAAGGAAGGGTGTTTTCATAGGTTGCAACTGAGAGGTTGAATGTTTAGCTTTTTATGCCAGCAGCTGTATTCATGCCCCAACCCCCACCACAAAGCCAGAATGTTTACAGAACCACCGAAAGAAGTCAACTCCTCCATGTTCTGGGAGCTTTACCTGAAACTGTTGTTCTTTCCAGGACTACTTAGTAACTTCCTGCTCTCTAAGGGGAACTTGTCTCCCCCAATTTCTAACATTTTCTCAGCCTCCTGCAAGAAAAAGAGACATTATTTTACCTTGGATCAAGGTAGTCTACACCAGCCCATTTTTCAATCCCTATAATTTCCACCTAATTTTCTCTCACATTTATTATAAGAGAATGTAGCTATGTTCTTTCATAGTTTTGACTCACCATAAAATGAGTGACAATCCAATATCTGCACCTACTGAACAGTACTTAAAAAAAAAAAAAACCCTGAATCTGAGTAAACCTTTAGATACAACTACCAATTTACTGGAAAGAGGAGCCCAACAGGCTACAGCCAATGGCATTGCAAATGATTTAGCGACTGAACAACAATATTGTTAACTATAGTCACAAGGCTGGGTGGATATTATAACCCCAGAACTTACTCATCTCATTGACTACCTTCACCTATCACAGCCCTACCCCTTAGCGCTCTGTGATGCCACCAGACTCCAGTCTGGAGATTTTATCTCTGAGATTACTCCTAATTCCCACACTGGCAAGCCCTATAGAAATGTTGGTGATGTGGAGGACATTACTCACTCTAGTCTTCCTTTCCTCTACAACCAGTGTGAAATCCCCCAGAATAACATACCCTATGTGTTAGCCTGTGGACTTTTGGACTATCCTACTTTTGGTTTAACTTACTTTAGGCTTGTTGTTGCTGTTCAGTCACTAAGTCGTGTCTGACTCTTTTGCGACCCCATAGTCTGTAGCCCACCAGGCTCCTCTGTCCATGGGTTTCCCATGCAAGAATATTAGAGTGGGTTACCACTTCCTTCTCCAGGGGATCTTCCTGACCCAGGGATTGAATTTTTGGCTTATCCTTATACAGGATCATTGCACTGTACACCTTAAACTTACACCATATTATGTGTCAATTATATCTTAAAAAAATTAGATTTTCAAAATTCAAGATTTTGGGGAAAAATTCCTCTAAAATGAATTTCAAAGTGCCTATTTCAGGCAGGCACTAACTGGATGTGGAAACTCTTTCAGGCTCATTCTTGGACTGGTATTTTCATTTTGCTACACATCCATTCTTTGCATATATTACAAGCCACTGACTGAAGGTCCATTGTGTGGATGGCAGATGCCAAGTGCTCAGGAAAATGAGAAAGGACAGAAAGTCCTATACAAGTTATCTCTGTGAACCACAACACCATCTGCAATTAAGTATGTAACAAATACTGTCAGAAAATAATAGATTTTGAATAATTATCAAATTAGACCTTTGGGAAAACATAAACTATTCAATCTGATAATAAAAGCAGATTCACATTCATATTCTAAGTGTAAACCTGGTAAGTAGGTTGTAGACAAACAGAGGAAAAAACAACTGGTTATCAAATTTAAAGATGAAGGACAGATATCAGCTGAGAATATCTTCAGAGTAATCTTCCCCGATCCTAAATATAACCCTTGGGATTCCAGACATGCTGACTTTTCATGTGGCCCTTCCTATGTTCTGTAATTTGAGGCTGCCGCAAAGTGTGCAGTTGGTGCAAGAACTATGACCTCTTCCTCCTTGGCCTTCTTCTTGGCATCATCCAACTTCTTCTTTTTGCTCTCAGGCATGAGATCATCCAACCAGCTCAACTCCCGCTTAGAGAAACAGAGATCCATGACTTTCCTGACAAAGACCAAGGCCAAAACCTGAAGAAATACAGAGAAAATGAACTAAAAAGGCTTGTTCCCTTCTGGAGTGAAAAACCAAGTCTTACATTCACAGCAGACTAGGACATGTCAGGCAGAATCAAACTCATAATAATCATCATAGTTGCCTTTTATTGAGGCTCTCTGTACCAGATACTAAGTGTTTTATATACAATATTTTATTTAACTATCATCACTCTACAACTTATTAATTCTCTACTTGAACTAATTTAATTTCTTCATTGAAAAGAGAAACCCTCATCATCAGATTACCCTAAGAGCTGTCTTCTCCTGGCTCGAGGCCAGTTGGAAGGGCTAGAGGGCAGGATAGGGGTGGCAAGCCTCTCTAGGAGATGGTTTTGGTGGGGCCAGTTATACCCAACCCAAGCATGGGCCACCACAGGGTTAGGGAGCCTTGAAGAGCCATCTGGATTTCCTCTGGTCCTCTGCCTGTACATTTACTTGCAAAGCATTGCTTTATGTCTGCCACATGGATCCCGAGTGGTTTCTGTCTCTGGCCTCTGATGTGGTTTGACACTCATTCTGTAAATAAGGAAACTGAGGCCCAGGGAGAGAAGGTAACTTGCCTAAAATATGACAGCTAATCGACTCACTAGAAATGACCAGAGTTCTCAACTACTTCTCTACTTTGTCCCCATTAGGGCCATTTCAGCCAAAGAAGAACCAGTAACAAGCCACAATGCCCTGCCTGGACTGACTGGTGTTCACCAGCTAAATCCGGTGACTGAACCAGAAATGGGGCAAATCTGGCTAACTGCATTCATTTCTTCTTAATTTCAACAACTATTTTCACAATAAATCCAAAATTGAAAGTATCCCTTTCAGGAGTCACTGGGAATTTGCTATTTCTTTAACCAAACACTCAAGCCCTGAACATAGCACCCCAATGCAGAACCCTATATGTATTCTGACAAAACTGAGAATCCCATCAGGAAGATATATATCTAGGAGATTGGGGGAAAAGAACCCCAAAGTTTCCCCATCCTTGAATATTCTCCCAGGAAGACAGACTTCAAAAGTCTGTAAATGAATACTCGATATTACCCTCATGGCCTTTTCCCTCCGGAGGCCCATCCTTTGGGTAACTTTCAAACACTGAGTGCTCAGCATTCTAGTGACATAGAGTGAGCCAGAGAGAGGAAGGCATCAAGAGGACAAGATGAAACAGTGCGGTGGTCAGGTGGCATGTATTTCATCATCACCCTGGTTTTAGGAAACAGGTTGTCACCGGTTGCACCACATAGTCCAGCTTTCCTGGTCTCGTTCCCAAAGCCCTTGTTTCCCTTTGAAAGGAGGTAAGGGTGTCCCAGCCACTCATCAGTGCTAGACACCTCTTCCTCTCTCCCAGTGACTTGAAACAGTGCATTTCCACCACCATAGACACTTCTGATCGCAATGAATTCTAAACTGGAACCATATTGCTTTCAGATAATATGCAAATTATCATAAACATGAAGAGTCCTCTCTCCTGTTGGTCCTTTAATGGACCGGAACCTGGTGGTCTGGAGTCAACGATAAGAAAGTAAGAGAGAGAAAGAGGCTGTATCCCCTGGTTTACGCGGAAAGCCAATAGAGCCCTATTTTTAGGGCTCGCGCTGCTGCAGGTAGGCACCGGGCGCCCTCTCGAGTGGGTGAAGGCACACTGTGCCTTCTCGAGAGGGTCTTAGAAGCCCGGGCAAGAAAGTGAGCTCAGCGGGCCTCCGCGCTCCAAGGAATTAACCAGAAATAGAGAGAGAGAGAGAGAGAGAGAGAGAAAGAAAGAATAGAAAGAAAGACACGGGGACCCAAGCTCTAATGTAGCAAAGGTGTTTTAATCAACATGGCGTGGGCATATATACTGTAACGCGATCCCTATCAAAGAGAGAGTTGCAAACAATCACCTTTTACCGTATGGCTCATAAAAAGGAAGAGGGTACTCATCACCGCAATGAGAAATGCCTGGATTCCTTAGCCCCAGGAAAGGTGCGCCTCTCCTCTTAATTCCTGAATATTCAGGAATTAATAAGGGCCAGAGGGTTCCTGACAAATCTAAAACAGCACACAGGAAGCCTCTTGTTAAATGCTTCCTGACACTCTCATATCAGATTCATGAAAGAAAGAGAAATATTAATAAATAGAAAGAAATACAGACAGGCAGAAAGGCAGATGAATGGTCTTGGAAAAAACATGGCAAACTACTACACACATGCATCCACACCTCAAGGTCCCCTAAATAATGCTTGGTCTATGAAGACCAACCAAAAAAACAGGAACTCACCATCAATAAGGGACTAATATCCAGAATACAGAAAGAACTCCTAAAACTCAACAACAGAAAAACAAATCACCTTATCTCAAAATGGGCAGAGGACTTGGACACTTCTCTAAAGAAGATATACCAATGGCCAATAAACACATGAAAAGATGCTCAACATAACTTATCACTGAGGACATTAGAATCAAATCAAAACCACAACGAGATATTAACTCACACCCATTAGGATGGATGCTCTCCAAAAAACCCACCCTGACACAACATGGATGGACCTTGAAGACATTATGCTAAGTGAAGCAAGCCAGTCACAAAAGGACAAATACTGTGATTCCACTCACATGAGGTCCTGAGAGGAGTCAAACTCATAAAGACAGAAATTAGAATGGTGGTTGCCAGGGACTGAAGGGAGTTATTGGTTCACAGGTACAGAGTTTCAAGTTTTGCAAGATGAAGAAGGTTCTGAAGAAAGATGGTGATGATGGCTGCACAACAAGGTGAATGTACTTAATGCCACTGAACTGTACAGTTAAATATAGTGAAGATGGTAAGTTTTCTATTATGCCTATTTTATCACTATTTTTTAAAATAAAGAACAATACCTTTTAAAACTCACCATCATAGGAAAGACGATGGCAGCTGGCGATGCCTTGATGACCCAGAGCAGGACGAGGCAGGTCAGCTGGATGAGGGTGAAGAGGTGCACCTTGCGCAGCGGCACATGCCGGAGGTAAATGAAGTCTGGCTGGTGCTTCGCAGGCATCCCAAAGAGCTTCAGACGATCAAAGAACTGAAGAAAGGGAACCAGCACTTATCTTTCGGTGGTTTCCCTCGGGCTTGTTGGGCCCATTCATGTCTGTTATATCATAGGCTCTGAAAGGTAGCTAATACCATTTCCACCTGACAGAAGTAGAAACTGAGTCTCAAAGAGAACAGGTCATTTGGCCAAGGTTGGTAAGGGACATTTAAATCTCTTCTCATTTTCAGTTCAACTGTCTTTCTTCTATCCACACTGTAGCTCCTGAAAGAGCTCTTTCTTAGGGAGTACTGAAAACAAAATAGGCCAATGGCATTCTTCTGCTTAAAAGTCCAAATCTATTTGTTCTTGGAGGAGTTTGGAGCTTTTCACAAATTATTTAAAGAAAAAAGATAAAATGAAACCTCACAACATTCTGGATATAGAAAATATCCTTATATTATAAAAAGGAAAACAGAGACTCAGAGAGATTAAATAACCTGCCCAAAGAACTCAGTGTATAAAAGTGACTCCTGGACATTCCAAAATAACAAAGAGGAACCAGCCACCAATAGAAGAAGCAGCTAAATTATCATTTTATCTATGATAAAATGAGCTAACACAAGTTAGCTCCTGATTTTCTCAATTCAAAGGACTCAGAGGAATGAGTTGATAGATGGGGAAAGACAACGTGTGACAGAAGTAATACCTGCTTACCTGGGGCAGTTCCCATGACTTCCCAATCTCTTCACCAATGTACCCCCAGTTACACCCCCACACACTTCAGCCTGGCACCAAAACTAGTGTCATCCATGGTAACTCACTCCAGTATTCTTGTCTGCAAAATCCCACGGACAGAGGAGCCTGGAGGGCTATGGTCCACAGGGTCACAAAGAGTAGGACACAATTGAAGCAACCTGACATGCACATATGCATGTGTAGAAGCCCGTTTGGCTTCTGACCAACCTTTCAGACCTAAGTTTACTAGCATCTGACAAAATACCTAGTGTTTAACACATGTCGGATAACTGTCTGTTGAATAAAACTGACGAAGGCCTGGAACCATGGCGCTGAGTCAGGCCACCCTGGAAGTCTCTGTGCCCTCATGCCAACATGAATGTATTTTGCCCAGTGTCCAAGGGAATGTCTAAAAGAGCTTAAGCAGCAAGACTAGGAAATAGTCCCTCAAGAACTGGTTTGTGGTTCCCTAGGGAAGCTGCTCTCCCTGGTCAGGAAGGGGAGCTCACAGAGGGAAGATGCTGCCTGACTGAACCCCACAGTACCTGAATTCCCTGCAGGGAAGACACTCCCATGTAGAGGAAGACTCCATACAGGACCGGCATCGGGATAAACTGAAGATGAAAGGGCAGAGACCAGAAATTCAATGTGGTATCACAGCACACTCAAGATTATATAAACTGCCAAACCTCCAAGAAAGAAGCAAACTCACAAAATCACTGCAGAAATGCTGCATTCGCTTCTGCTGTCTTTACATGATTAAGAAGCAGAAGCGAAAACAGAAGCTGACAGTGATACAAATCATTTTGTTCTGAAATGAAATGATTACATGTAAGTGTAATCTGGTCCTGGTTAAATCATAGGCCTCACATCTTCTCCCCATCTGGTTCTTCCTCCTCCAGGGAAATGGGCAGGCACACACATACATATGCACACACACACACACACACTCACCCATCTCTTTTACAGAACTGAAATCTTTTAAATCTTTTGTAATCACCTAATCATCTCCTCAGGGATTTGGTACATTTTAATATAGGCTAAAAGCATTTGCTTTTTATTAATCAGAGACTTGAGGGCAGGGGTACGGGGGTATTTTGTCAAATAAAGAATGGGGAGAAATGGCAACATGATTCTATTGCACTTGAATACACATGCAGGCTTCCCACATTATACCCATCTAGGTAATTTTCAGAGCAACTTTATGAGGTAATGAGGCCCATGGAATTAAGGCAAAGAAAATATCACTGCAAAGACTACACTCAACTTGCTTTTATTCTGGGGCTAAAGAACATTTCTAAACATAATTCTTCTTTGAACTAGAAAATTCCCATTGGATTTTACGTTGTTCTGGCTCTAGAGTGAGTAGACATCTCAATTTGGTGCTAACCTCGTTAGAAGAACTACTGAATGATTTCCCAAAAGAATCCTCCTGAGACTGTACTAGGAAGGCCAGGCAATGCCCACCACCATGACTTCATGGTTATGTTCCCAAAGAAGCAGACACATTTGGGCTCCTCCAGATGGCACCCAGATCAGAGGTGGGGGTGGAGGTAGGCCAGGGGCAGAGAGTAGAATGGGGAAGGGGCATGAGGAGAGGTGGCAAGATTAAGTGGAAGGTAAGGGGGCAGGAGGAGGGTTCAGAATCCTGTCCCACCTCTGCCAGTTTGCACCCTTAAACAGCATCTGCATTGTAGGCCGAAGTGGTTGACAAGTCACTAAAAAGGTGGGAGGAGGCAAGGGAGATAACATGAGGAGAGGTGGCAAGATTAAGTGGAAGGTAAGGGGGCAGGAGGAGAGTTCAGAATCCTGTCCCACCTCTGCCAGTTTGCACCCTTAAACAGCATCTGCATTGTAGGCCGAAGTGGTTGACAAGTCACTAAAAAGGTGGGAGGAGGCAAGGGAGATAAGTAAGTGCTCCACAATGGCTGGGGCTTGAACTTTCTTTTTTATCCTGTTTTTCCCACAGGCAGGCCTTTCAGCCACAAAAATTTTTTTTCCTCATATTCAAGGTAGCTTCCATCTTTCCAAAAATCCTCTTTTCACCCCATGTCTCATATCAGCCACTGCCCATTTTGCTGTTCTATTTTAATAGAAAAAACTTTATAGAGTTGTCTGCCCACACTCTCTTTACTTTCTCACCACCTATATACTCTTCAGATCCCATCACTCAGCTTCTACAGTATTGTTCCAATGAATCTGCTCTTGGCAAGTCTTATGAGGCCTCCATGTTGCCAAACCCAATGATCTTGGTTTGGTCTTCATTTTTCCAGACAATTTCCAACCAGTCATTCCCCTCGCTTGAACTCCCCGACATCATACGCTTGTGATTCTCCCCCTCCCCCTCTGGCAGCTCCTCTGAGTCTCTGTTGCTGTCTCCTCCTCTATTGACTTTCTAAACATCAGGCCTCTGTGGACTCTGCTCTTCTCTCCACTCCTCCTCTTTTATAGCTACCCTTCCCCCTGAGTGAGCTCATCTATGCCCCTGGCTTTCACTACCACTGATGTGCTGCTGACTCCCACATTTATATTTTTAGTCTAGTAACCTCCGCTAGCCTCTTCACTCAGATGCCTACCAGACATCTCACTCAAATCTGATCACAGCCCACCCCTTACAAAATCACTTCCTCCTTCATACAGTCTTTTCCACTTTAAATGCCATCACTCTCCACCCAGATGGTCAAGCCAAAAACTTAGCAGTCATTTTGATTTTTCCATTTTCCCATTCCATATTCAGTCAACCAGCGAGACCTGATCTCCTCCAAGATATACAGAAGTCATGCCTTTTATGCATTCCTTACTACCAACTTCCCTATCCAACCACCATCCTCTCTCACCTGTAACAGACTCACCAGTCTCTCTACCTCTACTTTTCCTCAACCTTAAATACTTATTCTCTAGATATGAGCCAGAGAGACCTTTTAAAAAAATACTAAATGGATAATGTCCCTCTACTGCTAAAGCCCTTTGAAGGTTACCTTTACCAGTGTCAACAAGCCCTACATGATCTGTCCTTGCCCTCTTCAGTCTCATCTCGCGTGCTTTTGCCTTAACATCCCTGAGCCACGCGGCCCTGGCAGCTCCTAGAACATGTATCATTATTTCTCACCTCAGGACTTGTCTAGACTGCTTTTCTGCCTTCCCCCCATGTCCTCTCCCACCACGCATGGCAGGGCTGGCTCCATCTCATCTTAAACACCACTTCCTTAGAGAGGCCTTCTCTGACCACACTAACAAAACACATCCCTTTAATTCTCTATAGAACCATACAACACTGTATATTTCTTTTGATCACATATTACATTCTGTAATTACCCTGTTTATTTTCTTAACTAACTTCCTTAACTACATCTTGTCTGTCATCCTCTACTTAGAATAAACTCCTCAGGGCAGGTGTTTGTATGTGTATGTATTTGTCATACCACTGCATTCCCAGCACAAATCAGGCACTTAATATCTACCTAATGAACGAATGAATAGTTTTACCTTTAATATAGTTGTCATGAAGACTGAGCAGCCCATCAACACAAAGATCATAAGGCCTGTCACTCTCTGTTCTCGGATGCCCAAGAACTTGGGCTGTTCTCCTGGGGCAGAGCACTCAGATTCCAGTTTGAGGCTATTCACGTGCGTGATGGATAGGACAGTTGCAGCCACAAACCAGGGCAGGCCCATGATGGAGCAGACACCCAGCATGATGGCCACCATCAGCAGGTCCAGGTGGTAGCCACATCCTTTCTGTGGGGAAACAGAGTCTCCATCACCATCAGTGGGCTGGCTGTAGTGGGACATAGGACAGTGAGCTAAGAGTCTCAGGCCCAAAGCAGGAAGGATAAGGAAGGGGTCCAGGGATTCCAGAAGAGTCTTGCAGCCCCTCCTGGTTTGGAGGGAACAGAGAAGAAAGAGAAACCTTAGCGTGTCCTACACATGCCAATATCTAATTTTTATCCAAGTGTCCCCAGATCTCACCCTGAGTATCACATATTCAAAGATCCATCCTTTCTCGGTAGAGTAGCCAGAGACACATCTTGACCATTCTAGAGGATCGACCCTACAGGAGTTGGCGATAGATAGGTTCCTATAAACACTCCCCATTCCTTGCCAAATATGGATGTTGCCTACTCTAGGTAATGAAGGAATAGAGACAAGTCATGAAGCCTCTCACTAATAAATGTATTGGCACCAACCCTACCTCCTAGGATTCTTGGGCTCAAGGTTCAGTCTGGAAACCTCAGTAATGGACACCAATGGGAGAACAGTTGTCTCCAGGAAACTGTGGTCCAAGCCCTAACCTGAACCTCAGGAAGACAATCCTGGACCAGAGCATGTGACCATATAGGGACAACCAAGAATTCTGCCCACCAACCTCCCCCATAGGTCTGAGAGGAGAGTAATGGATTCCAAGCTTCCTTCACATTGTACAATCATGCTCTACTCTAGTTTCATCTCCAAACCAATCTCTATCATTAATGAAGGAGTCAGAAACCCCTGGAAACTCTGTATGAGCTCCTTCCATGACTGCTCTTACCCAGGTTCTACAGTTCCTGGTCTAAATGGGCTTTTCCTAAAATTTTTTAAAGATGTAATAGGTTGCCATTATTATTATGCCATTATTCTAGGTCAGAAATTTTTCTTACCTTGAGTTTGTGTTCCTTCCTGTTAATGATGACGGCTGTGATCTGCTGGTCCATGAATATTAAAATAGTGCAGAGCAGTGCTGGAATAACAGCAGCAATCACAGTCCACCAGGGATTGGGGCCAATGGGACTAATAATCCACCCTCGGTCATCCCGTGTTGGCTAAAGGGAAAAAGCAAGGTTTTAATTTTGTATTTTAAGTTAACTGTAGTCATTAGGGCAAAACAGATCAAACTGAATCATAATAACCACATTTCTTTTTATTCTTGAATGAAAATTCTCAAAAAAAAAAAAAAAAAGGCGTGAAATACAACTCCTTAGAAAATCTATGACTTTGTTCCAAATCTCCTTTGAAAGAGTCAGTCCTCAATTGTCAATTTCTTATGGAATATTCACCAATCCTTCACTTCCTTCCCTGGCTCTCCAAACTCCTGTGTACAGAAAAAGTGACTTTATCTCTGCATTGACCCAGATAGAATATATTAACTAATAACAAAATCTGTTGTTTAAAGAAGAATTGATAACTTCCAAAGACAATATATATAACTTTGATTATCCTCCTCACTACTCTCCCCACCAGAAGCCATATCATGTATGTTTACAGCACAAATAAAGGCAATATAGAGCCAGTTACATGGAAACTCAGGGGCCTGGTCCAAGACCCACCTCCCATCAGCAATGAAACAAGGTCCAGGCCCTAGAGACCTGAGAGAGGAGACCAAAACACTGAATCTGGGGACTCGCGTGATCTGGGACCCTGTAAGACCACTGTTCATAAATCTTATAAACTAATTAAACTCTCCTAGATCTCAAAAAAAAAATGCCAGGGTACTCTGGGGAAGAAAAGTTCACTTTGATTGGCAAGTAGGGATGGAAGATAAAAGGCTGGGGATACAAACTGGCCCCAAACTCATGAACAAAGCAAAGATTTTAATCCAAAGTATTTGGTTCCACGTTGGTTATCATTCTAGGATTCAAAGACTCTTCAATAATGTCACCAAGTCCCAAATTATGAATAGGTTAGGTTCTGAAAGTTTATAGAATCTGTTTCCTTAGTAATAATGTTCGAAATGGTAGTTAAATTGTTAGGTCAACACAAAAACTTATTAATCCCTGACCAACATTCAGTTCAGTTCAGTCGTGTCCAACTCTTTGTGACCCCATGAATTGCAGCATGCCAGGCCTCCCTGTCCATCACCAACTCCCGGAGTTTACCCAAACTCATGCNTCTGAGGTTATTGATATTTCTCCCAGCAATCTTGATTCCAGCTTGTGCTTCTTCCAGCCCAGTGTTTCTCATGATGTACTCTGCATTAACCCATCAATAATAGTATGAGTCTTCAGACTGGGTCTTGGTCACTGGGGGTCATGTGGTGTAATAGTGAAAAGAAGAAAGAAGAAAATATATTCTCTGCTTTCTGAAAGGGAGGCCTGCCAATGAGCCGCACTGCCTTTGACATTCTCCCATTTTCTCTGACGTCTCTCCCATCTTCAAGAGAGAGGCCTTCTTCCCAGATGTCCCAGAAATTCAGTGCCTTCTGACTATCTTAAGCCTACCCATCAGGGAACCTTTCCAAGAAGTGCTTAATGCTCCGAGATTACTTATTTTTACACAAAATCCATTCCTCCTGCAGTGTTGACCTCAGTCACCTATTAGAGAAAAAGCTGATCGCACTCATTTACACAGGGTGAGAATGATATATATTCTAGGAGGTATATACTTTTAAAGAGGATGTTTTTAATCCATCAATTTCTAACTGGGTGGCATTTCAACTGAATTTAACAAAACGAAATAAAATTTTTTCAAGCAACACAGAAAAAGATATTTTTAACCAGGCCTGCTTCAGGGAGAGAGAAAGGGAAGACGAAGGCCGACTGTGCTGGGTGTTTACAAGTTACCACGGGCCTGCGTTCCCGGCCTCCTCCTCCTGCCCAGCCTCCCCCGTTCCCTCCTCTCCTGGCCCCTCTCCAGTCCCCAAGGACACCCAGGTTTCCTCTCCTCTCCACCCTGTGGGGATCTGTGGAACTGAGCTCAGCTGTTCTATTTCCTCAGTTTCCCCAGTAGTTGCCCCCAAACTGAAACAGATTTGGAGTCCCCATGTTTATATCATCTGTTTTACTTTTTGTATAGGTTTTTGGATAAACAACAGTATTGATTATAGAGAGATATATATACAAACAATGAATTAGGGTTGAAGAGAGGTCACGATTACTCTGGGTGGGGGGGGCCCTAGACTGAGGGTGAAGCTCCTCCACCGCCTCACCTCCTCATGGGACAAGGTACTTGAGGAGCAGGACTGAGGCTTACAAAGAGCCTTTTCACCCTTTCTGATTTCCTAAGACAGCTGATATTCAGTGAAGTACTGTGAACCAGAACTTGTTCCAGAGACCCATATTCCCACAGTCTTTGGTATATGTTTATGTAGATATGAATATTCCATTGTTTTATTTTTTAATTATTTATTTGGCTGCACTGGATCTTATTAACAGCTGTGGCATGGAAACTCTCGGTTGAGCCATGTGGGATCTAGTTCCCTGACCAGGGATCGAACCAGGCTCCCTGCATTGGGAGTATGGAGTCCTAGCCACTGGGCCACCAGGCAAGTTCCCACATTTCATTGTCATAAATCTTCACATATTAAAAATAATAAATGGCATTAAGAAAATAAATAACGTTTTTCATTCATTAAACAACATTAGGTTTTCTGACTTCGCTGATTTGAACTCGGTCAAGCCTGAAGAATTTGCTTTTCTGAATGGTATGGCATGAGCAGCACAACTCAGATTTAGAGGACTGCAAAATATGTGATTAGTATAAGGAGAGGCCCCTGAAATAACTCAGGATCAGATTCTATGAGCTACATAAGGGCACCAAGTACCCTAACATCTGTTTACCTTGAACACACTGGGAACCTGAAGCTTGGGTGATGGTACTCCAATCAAAAAATCAATAATCACCATTGTGAAGATAGTGAGGAAAACAGCAAAGTCACTCACCATGGAGCGGACCTGGCATGAAAAAGGATTGGAGATGTGTTACAGTAGATTAAACACAATAGAAAAGACTCAGGTATGGTAAAATGCTTAAACATGCTCAGAAGAATGCTTTAATTTTATCGGTCAATTAATACAAGCATATTTAAACAACAGGACTATGTTAACATGCCCAAATTAATACCACCAAAGTGTGGGAATCATAACGAAGAATGAATCCTCTAACAAACTCTACTGGGACCCACTCCAAACTCTGAGGAGTTCTGTTTAGAGAATCTGGGCCCAGTATTTAGGGAATAGCTCTGAGAACTCAGGATAAGATTTCCTGGGACCAACAAGATCCAGCTGCACCAAGACTTTCGCAGCAGCACCAGCTCGTCTTTGCTCTCAGCCCCAACATCAAATCCATCTGCAAGTCCTATTGGCTCTGCTTTCAGCTCACGCCCACAATCTGACCCATTCTCATTACCCCGTAGCTCCCAACCAGATCAGGGGCACCGGCAGCTCTTGTCTCTGTAGCAGCAGCAGACTCCTAACCCTGCCTCTGTCCTTATGTAAAGCTGCTGGAATAAGCATTCAAAACACAAGTCAGATCATGTCACTCTTCTACCAAAACCCTGAAATGGCTCTTCACTTCAATGGAGCTAAAAAGCCCAGAGATCTCCTTGGCCAGTGAGGCCCACACACATCTGATATCATTACTGCTCTGATCCAGGTCCTAATGCTCCCCAACTCACTCTGCCTGTCCCAGCCACACAGCCCTCCTTGCGGTTTCTTACTCACACCAGACTCTCTCCCACCTCAGGGCCTTTGCACTTGCTCATCCCTCTGCCTCAGCGGCTATTCCTCCAGGTGACCCCATGGGCAGCTCCCTGCTTTACATCCACTCAAGTAACATGACTTCCACTCAATCGTCTCTGATGGTCACCACCCTCCACCCTGGTACCTCCTATACGCCTTTCCTACACCTTTTTTTTTCTCCAAAGCCCCTCACCAACATTCTGCCCCTAAGAGGACTGACTAACCAACTTTATAGTTTTGTAGTTTTAATAAAACACAGTCCCCCTAAGTGTCTAGTGCCCACTGTATGCCCACCTTAATCTGAGCTTCCTTGTTGGAAGAGCCAGATATATCTTGGCCACATGTAACATCGCTGACACCTTAAGCTGACTTTGCTTTCATTTGAAACCTGAGGTTTCCAGCTGCCCTTCCCTGTTTTTTTTTTAGTTCTCCTCTGAATGCTACATAAATTCTCTGAACATGTAGCTGCCCTACAAGAAGCCCATCCTGGGGCCCAGGGTCCTTCTCTCCTCTGAACTCCCATGGCACTTATATCCCAGGATGGCATCCATCTAATGACTGCTGTCTCCTATGGGCCTGGTTGTTTCATGGGTTTTCCCTTCCTATTGATGGCAGGGACTGTCTCTCTCTCAATCGTCTCTAATGGTCACCACCCTCCATCCTGGTACATCCTGTGTATATATATACACATACACACACAGACACATAAATTAGAGGATAACTACAATATTGGAAGGTTTCTGCCATACTTCAACACAAATCAGCCATAGCTACACACATGTCCCCTCCCTCTCAAACCCCGATCCCAGCTCCCTCCCATCCCAATCCTTTAGCTTGTCACAGAGTACGGACTTTGGGTTCCCCGCATCATACAGCAAACTTCCACTGACTATTTTACATGTGGCAATGTATATGTTTCAAGGATGTTCTCTCACATCATCCCACCCTCTCCTTCACCACTATGTTCAAAAGTCTGTTCTTCATGTCTGTGTTGCCTTTGCTGCCCTGCAAGTCGGAATAAAACTACCATATGAGAAGCTAAAGGCAAAGGAGAAAAGGAAAGATATGCCCATTTGAATGCAGAGTTCCAAAGAATAGCAAGGAGAGATAAGAAAGCCTCCCTAAGTGAACAATGCAAAAAAAGAGGAAAACAATAGAATGGGAAAGACTAGAGATCTCTTCAAGAAAATTAGAGATACCAAGGGAACATTTCATGCAAAGATGGGCTCAATAAAGGACAGAAATGGTATGGACCTAACAGAAGCAGAAGATATTAAGAAGAGGTGGCAAGAATACACAGAAGAACTATTTAAAAAGATCTTAATGACCCAGATAACCACGATGGTGTGATACTCACCTAGAGCCAGACAACTTGGAGTGCAAAGTCAAGTGGGCCTTAGGAAGCATCACTACGAACAAAGCTAGTGGAGGTGATGGAATTCCAGCTGAACTATTTCAAATCCTAAAAGATGATGCTATTAAAGTGCTGCACTCAATATGCCAGCAAATTTGAAAAACAGCAGTGGTCACAGGACTGAAAAAAGTCAGTTTTTATTCCATTCCCAAAGAAAGGCAATGCCAAAGAATGTTCAAACAACTGTACAATTGCACTCATTTCACACACTAGCCAAATAATGCTCAAAATTCTCCAAACTAGGCTTCAAAAGTATGTGAACTGAGAACTTCCAGATATTCAAAGGCATATGAACCAGAGATCAAATTGCCAACATCCATTGGATCATAGAATAAGCCAGAGAATTCCAGAAAAACATCTACTACTGCTTCATTGACTACTCTAAACCCTTTGACTGTGTGGATCACAACAAACTGTGGAAAATTCTTAAAGAGATGGGAATACCAGGCTACCCACTGCCTCCTGAGAAACCTATATGCAGGTCAAGAAACAATAGAATTCAACATGGAACAATGGGCTGGTTCAAAATTGGGAAAGGAGTATGTAAAGATTGCATATTGTCACCCTGCTTGTTTAACTTATGTGCAGAGTACATCATGTGAAATGCCAGACTAGATGAAGCACAAGCTGGAATCAAGATTGTGAAAGAAATATCAATAACCTCAGATATACAGATGACAGTACCCTAGTGGCAGAAAGTGAAGAGGAATTAAAGAGCCTTTTGACGAAAGTGAAATAGGAGAGTGAAAAAGCAGGCTTTAAAATCAACATTCAAAAAACAAAGATCATGGCATCTGGTCCCATCACTTCATTTCAAATAGATGGAAAAACAATGGAAACAGTGACAGACTTTATTTTCTTGGGCTTCCAAATCACTGCAGGTGGTGACTACAGCCATGAAATTAAAAGATGCTTGCTCCTTGGAAGAAAAGCTATGCAAAACTAGACAACATACTTAAAAGCAGAGACATTACTTTGCTGACAAAGGTCCATCTAGTCAAAGCTATTATTTTCCAGCAGTCATGTATGGATGTGAGAACTGGACCATAAAGAAGCCTGAGCACTGAAGAATTGATGCTTTTGTGTTTGTTTGTTTTTTTGAATTGGTGCTTTTGAACTGTGGTGTTGGAGAAGACTCTTGAGAGTCCCTTGAACTGAAAGGAGATCAAACCAGTCATTCCTAAACGAAATCAACCCTGAATATTCATTGGAAGTGCTGATTCTGAAGCTTAAGCTCCAATACTTTGGCCACCTAATGCAAAGAGCTAACTCAATAGAAAAGACCTTGATGCTGGGAAAGATTGAAGGCAGGAGAAGAAGGGGACAACAGAGGATGAGATGATTGGATGGCATCACTGACTCGATGGACATGAATTTGAGCACCATCGGTGCTGGTGATGGACAGGGAAGACTGGCAAGCTGCAATCCATGAGGTTGCAAAGCATCAGATCCAACTGAGCGATTAAACTTACCTCCATCTTTGCATCAACCAATTTTAGCAAGAATCCTGCTAAGTGGCTTAATTAAACCCCCTGATCACCCTTGATATGTAATGACTCTTAGATGTAATTGGGTTCTGCACTCTCCACTACCCACTTGGTGACATCTAATTAGCTTGGCCTCTCTTCAGTGAAGAATCTTGCCAAGTCAGTTTAGCCAGAATCCCCCTTACCCTTGAGGTACCCCCTTATTAATTTTGCATCTATTTACCCCCATCCTGCTTCTTGGTTTAAATTCCCACTTGTCTTTGTGTTTGGAGTTGAGCCCCATGCCTCTCCCCTACTACACAGCCCCAACTGCAGTGGTACTTATACCTATCACAATAGTGTGTACATGCTAAGTCACTTCAGTCATGTCTGACTCTTTGAGATCTTGTGGATTGTAGCCCATTAGACTCTTACATGAATGGGACTCTCCAGGTAAGAATACTGGAATGGGTTGCCATGCCCTCCTCCAGGGGATCTACCCAAACTAGGGATCAAATCTGTGTCTCTTATGTCTTCTGCACTGGCAGGCAGGTTCTTTACAACTAACGCCACTTGGGAAGCACAACACAGTTGGCATCTCTGCATGAAGTTTGCCTTAACATTTTAACAATTGTCATGATTTTTTATTCCTTAACAAGGGAGACTCTGGAATGGAAGTAGTAACTGGAAGGTATCCTTTGAGGAGACATGTGCTGAGCTTTCACTCTCCTGTACCCGGCAGTCCTGAGCTGAGGTCTACCATGAGGAATGTCCTCTGAGTGTAGGAGTGGAATGGGTGCAGGAGCCTGGGGGACATCTTCTGAAGGCATATGAAAGACTCCTGCTACCAGAGGAGAGGTAGAGAGATGACCGCAGGTATCCCCGAGGGATGCAGCAGTGACGAGCTGACCTCATCTGTGCTATCTGGATCATGTGAGCTTTTAACCTCTGCTATGCCTATGTTCCATACCCTCCTATCTGATCCTATACTGAATCCCTAGGGGGTAGAATTTCTCACCTGATTGTCTCCCCATGTCCAATTGTGTCAATGGCCCGCAGAAAGATTAAGGGGCACAGGGAGTGTCCCACTCAACAGATGTCTATCTGAAAAGCCTGGGTTCTCATCTAACACCTCTGACTGTGGCTAATAGAGCTTGCTGTGGTGTTGGTCCTTACGGAGCCCTCCCAGTGTATCTTGCTGATGTCCCAGGACAGAAGGGTATACAGTGGCATGAGTGAGCCAAAAATTGTTTTATTATAGAATTCTAAGAGAAATGAAAGTCCCAAAGCAGACAGTCATCCAAACATCCCCAGTCACACATGTGCTCGGTTGCTTAGTTGTGTCCAACT